CACAGGGGCAGTACTCGGCTATAAGGAGTTCTTTCATGGCTTCCCAGCCTATGGCATTGGCTACGGGTAAGGTCAGAGATTTGACCCGGCCATTCCACCAAGTCAAGGCTTTATCAACGAAGGTACAAGCCGCGAATTTAACTTTATCGGACTCCGCACAAGTACATATTTCAAAGATGGACTCGATTTTCTTGAACCATCGGGATAAGGAAATGACACCTCCAGTGCCATTGAAAGATGTTGGTTTCGCGTTCATGAAATCCTTATAGGAACCCCCTCTTTGGTGTCCCTGGCTAACTTCAGGGTTCTAGGATTGAGGACCACCTCCTGAACCACTAGGGTTCATTTGTGACATGGCTGCCACCATTGCAGCTGTCATGACCGTCTGGAGTGACGCTAGGTCAAATTGGGAGGAGGTGGCGGCGAAGAAGGATTGTTGTTGTTCTTTGAGCTGGGTCTCTTTCGGGGAGGCATCTTGATCTAATAAGATCAAGAAAGAGAGGATGGTAAGTCCTCTATATTGAATCGATAGATATGGCAGTTATATGATCCAAATAAGCGATAAAGCAGGAAAGAATTATCAAAATAGATAATTTATCGCTAAGAATAATCACAGAAAACCACTTAAATAAGGATTTTCTACAGAGGATTGGCTCGAGAAATACTCCCATAGTATTTCATGTATTGATTACGACATGGTTCGATGGTTGGGATATTAGGGTAACTTTTAGGCATGCCGCATACCACAATCACTCCCAAACACATGTTGGCCGTGTCTCGAATGAATATAGTTGGCCAGGCTATATTGACCCTAGACACGACTACATAACTGCCCAGATTTAACCATAGTACACAACACCCAATTACTTATGTTCTGTTCTACTTGTGGTTACGGATGACGACGGTTCGGTATACTTGTATACTTTTGAAAATACTTGTAGTTTGAAGATACTTTTAATTTAGAGCACTTAGGCCCTTTAGTGTTTATAGTTTTATACCATGTAAGGTTTGGTATACTTCATTCACTATAAACAAGGGCTCTGATACCAATCTGTCACACCCCGAAAACCGAAGGCGGAAACATTTCCAGGGTTGACTCCACGTTGAGTATCAAATCCAATGCACATAGTAAGTAAAGTAAAACAACCATTACATTACATAAGAAAAGTTTTACACTTGTTTCAAAAGTAAAGTTTGTACAGTTGTGATACATAGTATATATAAACAAAATGAAACGGGTCTTCATATACTCCATCTTCTAACCAAAAAGAGATCTTCAGGTACCTGTTCTAACGCTGACCTGAGAACACAAGCGGTTTAAAAATCAGCATAAAGCTGGTGAGTTCATAAGCGCTCTTTGTTTGTGAAAATGTTTCAAGTTTCCTTTCTGTTTCTGAAATGTTATGTATACCAAGAAAATCCCGTATTTTCTTAATAGTTGGTTGTTGTTTCACAAATGTAAAGTATAGTAAGTTTGTACACTGAAAACATGTCTGCTCATATGAAAATGTATAGTTTGGTTATCCAACTTGTTAAACTGTTTTGTTTACTTATCATGTATTCCCAGGAAAGTCCCATACTTTCCTTATTGTATATTACTAATTGTAAAAGATGTAATGTTATCCAGTTTGTTACTCTTTCCAGTTATGTAAGTGTTACCTAGGAAAGCCCCATGCTTTCCTGTTTGTTGGTTTTCAATGTGAACGAAATAAAAGATGTAAAAGATGTAAACGTGGTTAGATTCCATGTTTTCCCCCAGGAAAGTCCCATACTTTCCTGAATGTTAATTACCGTACGTGAAAGATGTAAAAGATGCAAAAGATGTAAAAGATGTAAAAGATGTATACAGTGATTCATTATTACTATAAGTAAATCTCTGTTATCCTAATTACGAGTTCCATAACCATACAATAGACTAAAACCCGTGGCAATAAGTAGTCCACATGTGGCAATAAGTAGTCCACATACTTATGACTTTCGTCACCCTTGAACCATTTCGGTTCGGCTGTAGCTAGTAGCCAGGTGTGGGGTAGTCAGCCCCGTATAGATCTATACACTCAAGTCACGCTCTCTAAATACCAGAGATTCTGGTTACGGGTGTAGTCCTCCACTCGCGTATCTCTGTGGAGTGTTCGCCGAGGACGTGTCTCCAATCATATTGGATTAACAAATTTACTAGTAATAATGTGATAGTCCTCCACTCGCGTATATACAAGATTAACAAATTTACTAGTAATAATGTGATAGTCCTCCATATATATTCAATTAGGGATACATTCACTAATTATATGGAACATTACACTCCAACGAGGTTAAACACCTCAAAACGAGCGTTTGGAGTGACCCGGGTGACATCTTCGGACGTGTAATGGCACTAGGGACTTGGGACTTGAGTTTACTCCCCAAGAGTAAACATTTTAAGGGGTTTACAGCCACATAACACACCCACACATGAGTTTACGGCTGTAAACTCATGTTGGTGTGATTTGGAGTGTTTAATGGCTTAAATGGACATGGGGATTGTTGGAATGGATTTCTAAAATGCCTTGGAATGGATTGAATGGAATTATACCAAAAAGAAGGGAGTTTACGGCCACCACTTTGGAGTTTATGGCCGTAAACTCACCCATGGCCAAGAAAAATGGTTTTAAACTACAAAGGACAATCACATGTGATTCTAGTTAATTTTCCAATCCTTGTTATGAATTTTGAACACCATTAAACGTACTTTTAGGAGTTTACGGCCTAGAGGCATGTTCTATGGCCGTAAACTCTCCTATACTCATGAAAACTTAGTCTTTGATGCTTAAAACAATCACATGTGATTCTAGAAATTTATGCAAGCCATTAGAGTGAATTTGATGCATCCTTTAACAAGTTTTATGAGTTTACGGCCAAGGGTATGTTCCTAGGCCGTAAACTCCTATAAATGACATTTTTGATGTGTTTCAAACCCTTAAAACTATTTTTAGATGCATCTAGATTTTACCACAAGACCATTGGTAAAGTTTCAAGGCATTTGGACATGTTTAAAGGCATTAAATCCCCCTTTCAGAGGAGTTTACGGCCCAAGAAGGAGTCTTGGCCATAAACTCTTGTTTGTCCCTTATAATTCATGTTTAATGTGTTTCAAGTCCCAATTAGCAAGCCTTAAGGTCATATCTAAGTCCCAACTATGATTTGGAAGGGTAATTTGGCTCAAAAACCCCATTTTGAGGAGTTTACGGCCCAAGCATGATCCTTGGCCGTAAACTCATGTTCTTGGTCCCAAAACATAATTTAAACATCAATTTGAAGGCTAAAGAGGTTGAATAACAAGTTAGGGGTGTTACCTCTTTGATTGGAAGCCTTAAATCTTTGTTTTGGACCTTTGATTATGGATGAGGAGAGAGGTTGGGAGTTTTCTATAAGAAAATGGCCAAAGGCTTCAAATGGAGGCTTAAGACACATTATATAGTGTTTAAGTTTTGGACACGGTGGAATTCTACCCGATACCAGCATTAGACGAGGCTTTTGGTCGTACCCGATTGAGTTGCCGTAACTCGATACGGTAATTTCTAGAAATATTCCGATCACTAAAGTTGGGTGTTAAAATGATTTCTAAATGTATTAAGACACCCATTAAGTCATTTTAAATACGTACCAGTTAATGACTTAATTAAACAGAAGATCGGAAATCTAATTTGGAAACGACGATTGGTTGCGTGAATTGTACTACGAAAGAGTTACAAGAATGATACGGAAATTTCGGGTTGTTACACTAAGTGGGCCCAGTCCCTAGTCGTTTGGGCTCAATCTTCCTTTATTGCGGCAACGAAGGTGACATCGAATGGTTCGCTGCCAACACCGACTTCGTTTGGGAACTCGCCCCTCGTTTTGGTGCCATGGTCATCTTCCCCGAAGTAAAAGCCCTAATCACTATACTCTACATTAATTTGTTCACTTGCAGACCTTTAATAATACAATTTTATCAAAAGCTTTGTGATTTGATCTAGCATCGATATTATGGTGAATCGATGCCATATGGAAGCCAGAAAGAGGCATACAAGAATGCTTCTATTTTAGCCTATCTAACAGCCGAACAAGCACTTGCTGATTACGCTCTTCTCATCACCGATTTGAAGAAAAATTTATAAGCCGAAGCATCACCTGTAATCTTGTTCGGCTGATTATAAGGTGGAAGTAAGATATTTTCCAACAATTTCAACAAAAATTAAACAAGCACTTGCTGATTAGGCTCATCTCATCCCATTTACCTGAAGTACCTGGTTACCACAATGTTTTAGTTAAAGACATGTGTATTTTCTTGGTATTCTGTATACAAATAGTAACATTAATGGTATTTTTTGTACTAAAAAAACAACAATGGTATTTTTTAAACATTTAGAAACCTGATAACCTACAATAGCCGGTAAAATGATATTTTATGTACAAAAAAAACAACAATGATCTTTTTTGTACACTTTTGAAACTTCGTTAGCTTTTTAAATCATTTTCCCTAAGCATAAATTTGAAACCTCGTGTTTGGCACGGAGCTTTTGGAAGCGTTTGGGAGCTTCTAGCTTTTAGCTTTTGACAAAACACTCTAGTTTAAACAAAAAGCTTTGTTTGGCAGTACGAGCGTTTATCTTTTAGTTTTAACAAAACGCTCCGATTCTAAAAGCTACTTCATGTAGCTTTTAACAAAACGCTCCGGAGCTTTTGAAATCAATTTCCATAATTACCCTTAAAAATATATTTATATAATTTTTTATTTTTAATAAATTATCCTTTTATGTAACTTTATATATTTCAAAAGCTTCCAGCTACTTTTGCCAAACATTCATATAACAAATAAAAGCTACAGCTTTCCGCTACCAGCTACCAGCTACACGTTACCAACTACCCGCTAACAGCTAACCGCTACCCACTTCCAGCTACCCGCTTCCAGCTAACAGCTACTTTTGCCAAACACCCAATATGTCTTTAACCAAACGAGAATGTCCTAAATCAAATGGAGATGCAAAGTCCTTAAATGGAGATGCCTGCAACGTATTTGATATTCGTTGAAACACGAACACACCACTGTTATCGATCATTTTTAGCCGAGTCGACCCGTCCAAACCTAAACAACCCTCTTCTTCCCCTCTCAACCTTAACTAAAACTAATAATCGTCACAAATCCTCTCTCTCGACTCCGCGATTCTCTCATCGGTCTCGATGGCTCTTCTTGCCAGGCAATCGCACCGCCTCGCTCTGCTGGCCTCTTCCCAAAGAGCCGCCGCATCGATCCACACAACCGTCCCGGCGTTAGCGGAAGGCTTCTCCTCTCCGGCGCCCTACTCTCGACCAGGTCCACCTTCGACGGCTTCCCCGGAAGGTTTATCAAAGACGGCGGAGTTCGTGATCTCCAAGGTGGACGATCTAATGAACTGGGCACGTCGTGGATCTATCTGGCCTATGACCTTCGGCCTTGCTTGCTGTGCCGTCGAGATGATGCACACTGGCGCTGCTAGGTACGATTTGGATAGGTTTGGGATCATTTTCAGGCCTAGCCCGAGGCAATCTGATTGTATGATTGTTGCCGGCACTCTCACCAACAAGATGGCTCCTGCTCTTCGAAAGTACGCCCTTCTTACCCTCTCATATGTGTGATGTGTTCATATGTCTGTATATCTTTAATTGTGAAGAAATCCCTCAGACTTCAAATCTTGGTTTGGTAATTATTTTGAATGGAAATTATTAGCATATATAAATCAAGGCTATATGGTATTTTTGGACTTCTAGGGTTTTATGACTATGGACTGTGTACTGTTCGACAATTTATGCTTGTGGAGCTGTTTTATCATGATGGCAACCACAAACAAGCACTCACTATCACTTTCATCTAGAGGCTTAATAGGAACCGATTTTGATGTTAGGTTTTGGTTGTGCTGCTTGAAACCTTGGCTGGTTATTGTAAGTGATGATGTGTATTTGTCTGTGATCAAGAATGCATCAAGGTGCCAATCATCTTCGTTGGATGTTATTTATTGTGATTTGTGATAGCCATGCCAAATGATAGTATTTTTACTGACACCCCTTAACCCGCAGCAAAGTTATTATGCCCTTTTCATTCATTTTCTCTATCAATTTTGAAGGGAAGTTCATTAATCGGGTCAAATACTTCAATCACCTAGTTCATTCGTAGTTTAGGTTTGGGTAATTTAGATCGCCTGAAACCTGAATAAGAATAAATATTTTTTTAGTATCTTCCTTTTAATGATAGCAGGAGTGTGGACCTATATTCTTTTCTTTTTTGTGGTGGGTGAACCTCTGCTTCCATTTGAAGTTAAGGAGATGTTTGTTTTGAAATTGTTTATGTGATATTTTATAATCAAAATCAAAGGAGATATGGTATAGCTGTGCCTCTGCAACTTGAAGTGGTAGTAATCACTTTTGATCAATGTGCTTGGTAGATTTTAAGTAATTTACTCACAAATTGCATATAGTTGAATCAGTGAATCTTTTAAAAGACTTGCAAATTATTCTATCGTTATATTTAAAAAACGGTATTGAGTTTGCACAACTCTATTATTTTAATTTGAGTTTGGGCCTTTGGGGAGAGAATAAGAGACGATTTTGAAAGAGAACTTATGAATCTTATAACGTAATGGTGAGAGATGATGTGCTGTTGTTTATTGTCATTAGGAGGGGTAGGTGCCCCATAGTTGAGGAAAAGATCTCTTAGTTTAGCTCAAAATGGGAAATAAGTAAGTAGTTAAAAGTTTTCTTTGATAATCTTTTTTGTAGAAGATGGTATACTCATATGGAAACTTAAAATTACTTGTTAATCGGTCTTTATCCTAAATTTGTGACATTGTTTATGCAAAAAAGCCCCAAAAGTAGCTTTTTTTTCAATATTAAAAACTTCAGTTTAAATGCTGTACAAAACATAAAGATATCATAGATGGCATAATAACTATAAACCTTTTTTGTTTCCTATTTTCTGCTGAAATTCACAAAAGTTATAACTAATTGTTCAATATGTATACCCCAGGTGTTACTTACTACAACTGCTTTTCAAGGATTATATTTCTTCCCGCCCTTAATTTTAACTTTTCGTAGAGGCAGCAATGCATACAAAGCTGTGGAATATATTGCTTGACAACATGATTTAATACTCTAAAATAATTAATTATATGTATTTATCTGAATTAGTTCATTTGATGATTAAGAAAGAAAATTTTTCGGTGTTGCAAAGGTATTACTTACTTTATAGGAGGTCGTATTGAAAGACAGATGTGTTGTTTTTGAAAAATAATATAATAGTAATAGGCAGGGAGGTTGTTGGGTGGTAATAGCAATGTAGAGTGTGTTTTTAAAAGCACAAGCAGTTGCATATTTTGTTGTAGAAATAGAAATGGAAATAGAATATATATGTAAAATAAAAGTGATTGTGGTGTGGCAGGGTGTATGACCAGATGCCTGAGCCACGGTGGGTGATATCGATGGGAAGCTGTGCAAATGGAGGGGGATACTATCATTACTCTTACTCTGTTGTGCGTGGCTGCGATAGGATTGTCCCTGTTGACATCTATGTCCCTGGTTGCCCCCCAACAGCCGAGGCTCTCTTGTATGGCCTTCTTCAGCTGCAGAAGAAGATCAACAGGCGTAAGGACTTCCTTCACTGGTGGACCAAGTAAAACACTTCCTGCTTCTGCCACCCAATAAGCTTTCTGTATTTCTGCTTTTCCTGTTTGTTTATTATAAGACATAACTTTCTGTTCACTGCTCTTTGTATGATTGTTGCTTTTGTTAAACATGGGGATTGATTTCATTGAATAAGACCCTCCTGAAACAAAAAGCTGCCATTATAGAACGTCAGGAAAATGATGTTCACTCAAAACAAAAACGATTTCTTCAAATGTTTCTGAATTCTCTAAAAGTCTTATGAGTTGTTTAGACCGGATGGGGTGCTACTTCCCATTTTTACCATGCATTTCCTTTTCTTTTTTGTCAGTTGTCACACACATGGAATGCTTTGCCATGTAATGCTATATTTACCTTTTTTTTGGTATTTAAACAATTTTGTGTGGATAATAAATTTCATTAATTGAAATAAGAAATAAGAAGTTAAAAACTTAAAGGACATAAAAGAAATTAAAACATGTAGCACGAATCCTTCATCTGAAAATCCATCTTCCAGGTATGGAACCCATGTTGAGGTCATTATGTTCAACTCAGTAAATAAGTTCTACTATACAGTTACAGTGAGCATTGTGATGTAGGGATGAGCATATGGACCGGGGAACCGGCCGGAACCGGAACCGGAACCCGATGGAACCGGTCGGGCCGGGACCGGGATGTTATTTTTGTGGATTTTTGGAACCGGGAACCGGTAGGACCCGGAACCGATATAACCAGAACCGGCAAAAACCGGAACCGTATGATACTATTTTTCAAGGACCGATTCCAACATTTGAAGACACAACAAGAACCGGTAGAACCGCCGGGCCTGTTCGGTTCTTGATTTTGGCCGAAGCCGGTTCCGGCCGGTTTGGTCCTTTTGCTCATCCCTATTGTGATGTGTTCCACTATTATGCATCTTTGCTTTTCTTGCCATGTATCATTTGTCGCTGATCTCTATTTGTCGTGTCATTGGAACGCTTTCGTTTTTGTCACACTCAAACATATTGTTGATCCCTTGGTTTTCTATAATCATATTCTATAATATGCTCCATGCATAAATATTTGTCAACATTTTTAAGGGCTGAAAAAGCTCATTTCACATCCTTCCTATTCCTTTTTTGAGCTTGCTTAAAATTTTCCATTTAGTATCATTTATTCATTTAGACATGAAAATGATTTAGCAAATACAATACTCAAGATAGATGCAGTTTTGTTGTAGTATAGTCATTGATCTGTTAAGAACATTATTGTCATTAAATAAACCGGGAGAACCAAAAAGGCGTGCCACATCCAATGATCATGTTAGGCTACGACTTCATAATCGTCGCATGTCCATGATCACTCGTGTGTATTAACCATGGTATGAAGTAGGGAAATTTTCCCATGCCCAATGGAGGCAATCTAAGCTTCCTAACATTTTAGGAAAGCCATATATACTTGCATAATGAAAAGACAATTATCGGATGTCATTGTAAGTATATATGCTTACGTAAATAATCACATATTTTCAAAAATTATGTAGACTTTCCTGTACAAAGTGGCGCATCCATGAATTTTTCATGTTGGAGGCACCGGATCAAACTACATAACCGAGTCAAATAAAATAGGTCAAAATATTTCACGTAGGGTCAAATTCGTCTTTTGTTTCATTCCAAAAAAATCACGTGTAGTTTATAAGACAAAAGAATCAAATCCATGAGAACTCTATTTCTCCATTCCTATTTAATATCGCATAGCCTATATTCAAAGTTTAAACTTTAAACACTTGTAAAAATTCATAAATTTAGCAAAATTAGACAAAATTTGACTATAAAGTTCACACACATAATTACTATTTATCACTATCACATATAGTTATATAAAGATATAAAACATTACAAAATGTTAATAAATATTAGGGTACTTAAAATTACCAGAACATTAGCCTATATTCAAATTCTAACAATTATAAATTTTCATAAATTTAATAAAATTAGACAAAAAGTAACTATGAAGATTACACGAATAATTAATATTTATCACAATCACATATATTTATATAATATAAAACATAACAAAAGGTTAAGTAATAAAGTAAAGTTTTTTAGAATTACCAAATGAATATTATTTTTAGAATTACCAAATGAATATTATGTTAGAGTCATGCTCTTTTGTCTGTGACTCTTGGCTCTTGCGGTTGCTAAATGATGGCTGACGTTGAACCTTGAAGCCACAACAATGTATGATTTATTTATTTCCCATCTTTAATTTCAGCCTTTAATTTACTTTTTATTTTTCAGCCCAAAATGCCCCCACTACTCCCAAGTCTCTTACAGGCCCTAATTAATTGGGGGCTTTCCAATTTCCATACAAAAACAAATATTTTAAGGGCAAATACCATATTTTCACACGTTTTTGAGAAAAACCTTAATTTTTTTTTTGGTTGGCTCTAGCCACAAATTGGACATAAAGTTACCACTCTAGCCCATTTAACGATTTTCATGGTTAACTCTGTTAAAATTTTTTTTCAAAATCAGTCCAAAAAGTTCAAATTTGGTCCCTGTAGTTTGCAAAAATTTACACAACATGTCCAAAACTCGGTTTTATGTTTTTTAGCTTCTTTATTTATTTATTTTTTTAATCAAAGCTAAACTTGCTTTTATATATTTTATAATTTTTTAATATTTTTCGTTCTTTTGTTTTTGGTTTTTTTATATATTTTTTAATTTTTTAAATTCTTTTCTTTTTTTCTTTTTCTTTTTCGTTTTTATATTCATTTATTTTTCATATTTTGTATATTTTTTTCTTTATTTTCATTTTTTTCGTTTTTTCGTTTTTCTTTATTTTTGATAAAATAAATTTACGTTTTGTTTTTCTTCAATTTGAAAACTTCTTTTGATATTTATCAAAAAATTTAAAGTGTGTGAATATATTTTTTTTATATTTTTCGTATTTTTTTTTGTTTTTTTTCGTATTTTTGTTATGTTTTGTTTTTCGTCAATTTGATAATTTCTTTTGATAATTTTTTAGAAAGTGCAAAGTGTATCAATATACTAGAGTATATTACATTTTTGGTGTTTGAGTTTTTTTTGGTTTTCTAAAAAAAAAATGAAAAAACGAAAATAAAGAAAAAACAAAAAAAAAACGAAAAAAATTATAAAAAATATGAAAAATAAATGAATATAAAAAACAAAAAAAAAAGAAGTTAAAAAATAAAAAAAACAAAAAAAAGGAAATAAGAACGAAAAATATAAAAAAATTAAAAAATATAAAAGCAAATTTAGCTTTGATTAAAAAATAAAAAAATAAATGAAAATAAAGAAATTAAAAAACATAAAACCGAGTTTTGGATATGTTGTGTAAATTTTTGCAAACTACAGGACCAAAATTGAATTTTTAGGACTGATTTTGCAAAAAATTTAAAAGAGTTAACCATGAAAATCGTTAAATGGGCTAGAGTGGTAACTTTATGTCAAATTTGTGAGTAGAGCCAACCAAAAAAAAAAATAATAGGACTTTTCTCAAAAACGTGTGAAAATATAGTGGCTTTTATTGTATTTGCCTATATTTTAATCCCGATTTGTATTGTCATGTCATTCTTGTGTATCCATTGGAAGCATTTGCCCCACTTTCTTGTTATTAGGTCCGTCCCTGTCCATGTGTTCCACGTAGATATCCTGAAATTCTCATCCAATGCATAGGCGGGATACCGTATGCTAATTAAAAAGTGTGGTTGTACAGATTTTTCATGGACTAAACCCTAATGTACCACTTGCATCTGAATGTTGTTGGAAATATCGACACTCATTAAATCTTTGACTATACGTTAATATAAAGTTTTATGTATTTAGAACCTTCGTCAAAAATTGTATGCTTGAAAAGTAGCATGCACGCTAAAGTAGCCATGCATGAGACATGAGACGCTGATGGTCAACTTCACTGTCTCTTTGTATGTATTTTCATTTTCTCTAACACGAACTTTCAACTTACTCATTGTTTAAAATATCAAACATTCTCTTTAACCCTTTAGCAATGTCCGTTTTGTTTGCATCACAAATTTAAATGTTAGAAAAGGAAGATGTAGAAAGAAAATATAAGGACGATTGTTTGGTATTATATTGGATAAAAATTAAAAGAAGAAAAAAATAATATGAAAAATAGTCGTTGATATATGTGAGAGGAGAGAGATTGAGAGCTCGTCACAATTCTACTTTGCTGAATGTCACATTGTTTTCCAAAGGCTTTTGTCGAGCATCAATCCCATTAGCCTTAGGCTATCATGACATGACACGTGTTTCAAGGGAATATGGAATGACGATGAATATAAAATAGGTAAATTTTGGGTCATTATAGAATGAGTAAATTATGCGAATGGTCCATGTGGTTTAGTGGAAATTACAAGCTTGGTCCCTAACTTATTTTTCTAACTCGGACTATCCTCAACTTTTAATTATGTAACCCGCCTAGTCCCTATTCTCACATTCCATCAATTGTTTCCGTTAGACACCCCACGTGCCTTGCACGTTGGGGGTATAAAAGTCTTTTCACATTTCCAACGATCTTCAAATACTAATTTTTCATCAGGATCGAACCTAATTTAGAGTTTCTTTCAATCCTCCATCGTTTGAAGCGGTTACACCTAATCTCCTTCAAATCAAGGATGGTTCAATGCGATTGTGGGCGTGCTGCTGTAATTCGAACTTCAACTACTAACAATAATCCAGGAATACCCTTTTACGCATGTCCAATTAAGGTATGTTGTAGTTGAGAATTTTGTAATCGTAACCCTAGATGGGGATATCACTGTATGCGATTATAGGTATTGTAACTGTGGCTTTTGAAATTGACAGGAACCACGTAAAGGATTTATTGCTTGGGTAGATGATGATGAAAAGGATCATGGTGACAGATTGACAATCTCCTGGCTTGTGAGGTTGAACAAGAAGCTGAAAAATGAAAATCTTTTCTTGAAAATATGTTTATTTATTAGTTGGGTATTGTTCTTGGTGATACTTGTTTACAAGTTGTAAGATGGGGATGAGTTGTTATTGTAATGGTAAAGTCTTCTGTAATGGTTAGGTTGTAGCAATGTATGTGATGGTATCATTATCTGTAATGGTTAGGTTGTAGCAGTGAATGTGAAGGTATCCTTTTTTGTAATGGTTAAGTTGTCTATGTATTGTAATGCAGATGGTTAAGATTTTTAAGATCAATGAAAATGGTGTTATGTATTGGTTAGGTTGTCTATGTATTGTAATGCAAATGTACTGTAATGGTTGTAGCAGTGTTGTATTGATTATGTTTTAAAGTGATGTATAAGCAACATATTGACCATTAATTAGTACCAAACTATAACAGGGCAATAAGGGTGACATCATAAGAAGAATATAACAATCTAATTTAGTACCAAACTATTATGGAAAATATAAATGTAAAAATCAATATAAACCAAATTATTATCTACCCAATGGTGCATAAGAAGAAAACATTCCATTAATTAGTACCACACTATTACTGGGCAATGAGGGTGACAAACTAGTTCATCCAAAAGTGCCAACATATTGGCTAAAACAAGTATCAAAATATTGCCCCTATTACAAACTATTCATAAATAATGTACCAAAATATTAGCCCTATTACAAGCAGCAACATAACACAATCCATTCATATTTAAAGTAACAAAAGACTAGCCCTATTACAAACCATCAAGTGGTTGCCTTCCCTTTCCCTTTTCCTTTTACTTGTGATTGTCCACCACCCCCACCAACAATTGGTCTTTGCCCTTTGCAGGTTCTTGCATTGTGACCAACATTGTTACACTTCGTACATGTTACTGATCTATGGGCCCTTGATGCTGTGTTTCCTCTAACAAAGTCCTCCTTTTCCACAATTGATATTGTTCTCTTCTTCTTTGGTCTTCCTATGGGAACACGATGTTTTGGAGGCAATAGAGTTGTTGGTATAACTGACTT